TATTCAATCGCGAATATCTCGTAAACTAAAAGAGATAAATAAGATCACAGCGCAGCGTTTTAATCTACGGACTATTCTCCAAAAGATAGGATAGTTAAAACGTAAATCTGAAAGATGAAATTTTAATTCTTAAGAAAAAATTGCCAATATCTCTTAATATCTCTTAAACTAAAAACAATCAACAAATTGCAGATTATGAAAGATTGGAAAATTCTCTATTAGATTATAATATAAAATAATTAAATATCGTAAAGGAGAAGGGCGAGAAATGTGATTAAAAGTGCTAAAAATACGAGTCACTTCTACCGCTACCTTTGTACGGTACCCTGACCACGAGTCACTTCTACCGCTAACCTTGTACGGTGCCCTGAACACGAGTCACTTCTACCGCTACCCTCATACGGTGCCTTTAACACGAGTCACTTCTACCGCTACCCTTATACGGTGCCCTGAACACAAGTCACTTCTATCGCTACCCTTGTTCGGTGCCTTGAACATGAGTCACTTCTACCGCTACCCTTGTACGGTGTCTTGCAATAAACTTCAATGCAGGGAGATACAGAATTAGTGTGATTAGTGTGACTCTTATTATACTAAAAATAACTGTAATTCCTAGCGCAACGTGTTCTACGGCGCACACACACAACTTTTAAAATAACTCGCGTTACGGAATTTTCTCGCAATAAATTTCAATACAGGGGGATACAGAATTAAATTCACAATCTAGGAAAATAATTTCGAACTAATTGTAATACCGCGTTCGCGTGTTATACTAAAAAACTATAATTCCTAGCGCAACGAGTACTACGGCGCACACACACAATTTTCAATATAACTCGCGATATGGAATTATCTCTTGCTAATTTTTTTGTGTTTGCGATTTAAGAGCGATCAGCCGGGGCTCGGGATATTTATCCCAGTTGACTCCCCGCCCTCTTAACCGCCCTGCACGTAGATAGTACGTGATATATAGAAAACTTGTTATAATAAACAAATGTAAATTTTACCGAAAAATATAATTGAATTATAAACTTACCAGTGTATAGCTTATCGGGCTGCCAAGCACAACGAGTGCTGTAACTAAGCGAAAACATAAATTACAACAAAAATATTTCATACAATTGAATTATGTTATAATTAACAATCAACACAAAATAAACAATCTGTGCTGTTTAGTTAAAAATACTTATACGAGCCTGATGAATGTTTCTTGATGGTGAGAATCAACATGGGGGCGATATATATTCGATTAATTTAGTAACCGACACCAAACACAACGCCGAGTGAAGAATGTTATCAAATCCACTATCACGTGACTTGTAATACACATAACAAACGCGATCAAAAACCGACATTTCCGAACATTAAACAAATTACTATAGTCGCAAAGTACAAATAAATAGTCGATTGATCTTCGGGTGTAACACTAATTTAGAATATTGAAATCCGAATAAACGATATAAGTCTCTCAAAACACGACTGGATTAACCAGCAACCGGCACGAAACTGGTTGCAATCCACGGAGAGTGCATGCCGAAACTGCGTAAACAACGACGGGACAGTATATGATAAGAAAGCAAGAAATGCGCAAAGACGACCTTGTGTGCGAAATTGCAATAGGCACATTACCTGTGATCTAAACTAAACTAGACTTCGCTGCATGCAGCAAGTAGATGCGGCGCGAGAGGACGGCGCGCGGGACACATGAGATAAAAAAGTTGTTTGTATACAAACGCAGGTAACAGGATTGTGTTCAAAACTAATACACTTCTAATTTATAATTTTTAGTTCATGCTGGTGCCATCTCTGAATGCTACAGATAGTAGTGTCGTAATTAAGATTATTATAACTAATTAAAAAAAAATTCGATACGTGTACAGTAGAATCCGTTTATTGTTACTCCGCTTATATTGACCAACCGGTTATTATGACGTAACTACACTACCAAGTTTGGTTTTTATATAAAATTCTGTATAAAAAAGTCGGATATAATGACTTCGCTTACAGTGACATGTCGCTTATTATGACCCATTTTTAACAGATTATGTCCGGTTATAATGACCAACATGATTCTTTACACCTCCGGTAATGTTCGTTTATACCCGACGACGTTCGACACGTGGCGAACTTTTTATATTTATTGCTACATTTCTTTTATGATTGTCAAATTACTTTTATGTATTTACTATCGGAAGACCAAATGCTTAAATAGTAAATATAAGCATTCGGGCAGCAGCACCTTGACCACGACTTAATCCGTATTTTCCATTAATCCGAATTTGGCGTGGGTCATTCGACAATCTCAATGCTTTTTAAAAAAACAAGAGCCGTATTAAGCAATTGTTCAATTCAAATGTTTTGAAACCAAAGATGCTTCGAAAATCACAAGAAAATTAATTAAATGAAAAAACAAAAGCAGACAAAAATTACAGATTACTTGCAGTAAAAAATACACTTGTATGTGTTATAATGTGCTGATTACGTGCAATTTTGATTTTGATTTAATATGTATGTATATGTATGTGTATTTACATAAAAAAGGGTTTTCATTTCACAAAACGCTTTGTATGACGTCCGCTTATTATGACGTGTTTGTCAATTCCCTTCGATGTCATTATAACCGGACTCTACTGTAATTCTAATTTCTTAGGGTGAAAGATTGCCCGCGTTAATATCCAATATTTATTATCACGTAAACTAAAATGGATAGAGAAAGGCGAATGATGATTTTTAACCTACGAGAAAATCTCTTTAATTTTTTAATCTAATTCTATATCTCTAGAAACCCGGTTTAAAATTTTAACGGCACGCGTTCGCAAGCAATCTTTAAACAAGACAAGGTTTTGCTTAATACCGTCACATAAAAATAAATTAAATAATTCATTTAAAATCAGTTTTCCTCGCATTAATTGCTCGAATAAAGACACTTACTAAGCAGTACCTTAATCCGAAAACTTCTTCTGATGCCAAAAGTAGTTTCCACTAGTCTAGAGAAGTCACATTCGGTCGGCAACCGACGGCAACTCACTAACGAAAACACGTGTAAATGTATAAACAAAATTCACGCTTACAAAATACACGCACCGTGATAGATCATTAAACACTAAACCTCTTTAATATCACTGAATTAAATAGATGGTCAATTAAATATAACAGGCTTTTCCGAAATTTTCAAAAACATGCATAGCCGACGGATGTGAACCGACTGGCACAGCAAAATTGACTAGCGCGACTATTATCAGTTAAAACGTGCAATAAGCATGCTTTACAAACCGTAAACAACATAAAAACTAAATTTACAATATCTCTACAAAAAATTAAACAATACCGAGTGTTTCGTAGCCTGGGGCGCGCATTTTATCAGTTCGTATGTTCTATTTATCAAACGTACCCGACTCACCCAGCGAATTTGAATTGTATTACTTAATTTGATATATTAAACTAAGATGGCGTTAGATGTATTGATTTAAATCTGGAATTCACAAATTTGCATATTTAAGCATTAAAATATTATTCGACAAATTTTAATGCTTAAATCGTAGAATTAAGCATATATTCATCTTAAAATCCCGTATTTCCATTCAAATAAAGTAACAAGAATCAAGATCAAGATTAATTCAGTTTTTATTTTATTAATATATCGCGAATTTCTCTGCAAGCCTTTTTTTGATTTAATTTTTATCGTGTAGGTTCTATTTTGTAGACATATTATGTCTAGGCGGCATTACCAACCGTGACAAAGATTAAGACAAGAAGCTACATAGTTAACTAGTAGTCACTGCGACTGTTTTGAAATAACCTTACATCATACGCACCTTGCTTCCATTCGTTCGACCGGTTGGATCGGGGTTATGTCGCTTTGCTGCTTCCTCAACTGATATTAATAATGACACTTCGATTAGTCCACAATCTCACAACAAAACTTCTTAGGGTATGTTCTTTTTCAATAATTAATTAACACATTTAATCAGTAATTATACTTCAGGAGTCACCCAAGGGTTTGCTTGCCCCTGCTCTTCAAACATCAGTCAAACATGACCAGGTCCGATATCGCCGCACGAAACATTGGAATCCCAAGTGGAAGCAACTCCGCCGTCAAAAGGTAATCAAAGTAGACCTTCCGGACTTCAATGAAAAATGGGACGATCTAACAGAGGAACAGACCCGATCCAAACTCAAAGAACAAGGCTTGTTACCACCGCGTCCATGGCTGGAAAGACCATTCTTTCTGAGTTCAACTGGTGGTGTATTTGAGGCATATGTCCCTCCTGAAGGTGACGGAAAAGTTTCGCCAATCAGTGTACAAGGTGCTAAACAGTCCATTCAATTTCTTGAGAAAAAGACAAAAACTATGATGGCCATTAGAAAGATACGCACATTCGATGAAGATTTCGACACGCCGGAATTCTGCAAGCAAGCTGAAGCAATATACATCAAGTCACACGAGTGTCTTGCAGAAAATGGCGACATTGATAATATTATTGACTATGTCACTGAGAGAGCATACCCTGAAGTCGTCCACAACTCAAAGGGAAAAACAATCAGATGGAAACACTTGAAGAATATTGAATTGCCTCGAGTGGTTCATGCTAGATGCACTGATATTGTCAGTAAAGAGAATGTCTTTGCTCAACTTACTGTTCGTTTCCACACCCAACAAATGCTGGCGATTTACGATCGTTTCGGTCGATTGATGCACGGTAGCGAGATTCTGGCAAAGGATGTTCTGGAATACGTGGTCTTCGAGAAACACTTGGCAAACGAGTACGGCAAATGGAGAGTTCACTATAAGATTATCCCGGATTGGATGCCACCGCGAGAGCCATCGGAGACGACTTACAAGAAAATTGTAGCACCGGTTACTGAGACACCAGAGAAAGTCGAGGCTTTAGAAGATGGGGTTAAGAAAGAGAAGATCAAGGAAATCGCCGCGCCGGCGCAGTAAACTTATATTGTTTGTAGATAGTTTTGAATAATAGAATAATTTGAGAAAATAAGAGTTTGTACAAGGATCACCGCTTTTGTTATATTGTTATTTAAGCAAAATAACACAATGTTTCGGATGTCGCTACTCTCTTTTGGTTTTTGGTAAGTAAATCTACTAACACATATATTAGTTATTAGCGTTAATTTTTATATAAAATAATAATTTATCTTGCTCTCATATAAAATACATTTTGGTAGTCGCCATTTTGTCACCGGAGGCAACTTCAATCTACTAGTCAAATCAAATAAAAATCTCACGTCATTACACAAAGCTACTAGTTGGTTGCTCCAAGTAGGAACATTCTTTTTTGTGCACAACAATATTATCGCGCACCTTCCAATTGGAGGGCTTTATTGGCACGATTTTCGGCTTAGGCGGGAGCGGCGGCGGCTCTACTCTAACAACATTACATGCACTAGGGACTCGCTCACTAGGAGTATTATCAGGTACAGGTACACATTTAAAAGGCGACGACAGACTCAATGCGCCATTGACGTTATTCTGATTCTCATAGTCTGAATGTAGCTCGAGCTTGAGATTCTTAGCGGTGACAGACACGTTATTCGTACGCTCTGGTTTCGCCGGTATGATTTGTGTCGCATGTCTGGCACCAACGAGGCGCTCGTTCTTAAGAAAGTCCGGCATAGTGTAATTGATCTTCGTGCCTCGTTGATCGTCCAGTCGGCCACGCTGTGCCCGATTAAGGCCTTCGTATAAATCCTCGCTCTCCGAGGTGTTCTGTAGCATGACACCTACTTTGAGCTTAGCGATGAGAGGTTTCTTAGCGAAAGGATTTTCATCAGCGACAATATCTTCAATACTGCTGTGTGTCGAGGCAGAATTCAGTTTCGACCTCCCTGAGAGTTTCTTCTTCCTATTACGTTCAGAGTCGCGCTTCATGAAACGCCCCACCATATTGGAGCTGTGTTCGGAACCCCAGTCTTCACTCTATAATAAATATTTGATTAATAAATTATATCAGTCAAAATATGTTCACTGAAAAACTTACTTTGACTGACTCAGTGTGAGCCTTTTTTACTTCAGACTTTTCCTGCAGGATATCTTCATACACTCGATTGGTGATTTCTTCCAAAGTAGAGGGCGTTTCAATTTTCGGCGCTTCCTTCAATTGCACAATTATTCTTTCATTGTCAAAGGAGGTGACCTGAAGGTGTATGTTGGCTGGTTCATTGTTGAACGAAACTGTGACTTGTTCCAAGATGTAGGAGTATTTTTCTAGGATGGGGCGCAGTACTTCGACTAACAGTTTAGTGCTTTTCGACTTGACAGCAATGACCTTCTTATTGGGCAAATTGAGTTTAAAGCAAACGCGTTGCTCAATGTCCACCTCACATCCAGCTAGTTTTAACGCCGATTCGCTTATATTTAAAGCCTGCAAATTGATAATCAAACATGATTCTTGGACGCCGGTTGTTTGAAGAATGATAAAAGATTACCTTGGTTTCTTTATTTGTGTAAACAGCAAACGCAGAGTAGACAATGCCTCGCTTCTCGAGCAACCTGGTGACTAAATCCTCGATTGTCTCGTCCTGTTTGAGTTGCGTCATTGTGGACGCGCCATTGGTGAGCTTGATGCGACATAGCGGGTGTCTGCCGTTCGCAATTCGCTCATCGTTCACCTTACTTATATCCTGCAAGCAACATCATACGTCACATTCAATTCAATGCAATCGCATCGTTTATCACAAGTGATTATATAATAAAAAAAACAGGGAATAAATAAATAAATATGCGATAAGGAGAGGAAATATGAAATGTGTGCATTAGTGTTAATGTGTGTTTTATTATATTAAAGTCAAATGCTAATACTGCTGAAGCGTTTCTCCAGTTTTTTTCTTTTCTCTTTTGAAATAGCTCTCAACAAAATTTCTTTTAAAGATTTAACTTCTCCTTGTTTCGTGGATAAAGCGTGATCAGTGCTTGTTATTTCAGTAATGGTTGGAAGAGTGTTAGTTTTCAATCCATGATTATCATGTTCATTGTTAGTCGGTGTATATGTACTATGTGCACGCTGTTTTCTTACACTATTAGATGATATTCCAATGTCCAACGACGTCAGTGACGATTTACTGCTGCTGAAATTTTCGTTCACATCGTGCTGGAGTGGTTTGGGCTCATCACCGCACTCCTTCGACTTGGAACGATTTTTCCGATGCCAAGGAAGCAGTGATTTCCGGCGGCGATCTTCAGCGTTAGAGAGAGAACGCTTGGGTTTCGCCGAGGTGATTTGCAGATTCAAATTCGGATCCAGTTTGTAATCTTCACCCTTGCCGGCAAGGCACTGCTTGTACAAATCGGATTTGAGAAAACGCGTATAGCTGTCGAATTTCATTAGGTTGAAGATCTGTTTCTGCGCGGCGGCAAAAATAGTTGCGTTGACATTGTGCAGGTTTTGTTCGGCGCATTGGCGAGCTTTGGAGTCTATGTTGACCGCTTCGCCGGCGCCGAGTCGCAAGTGTTGGTGGAAGATGCGTTGCGCTTCAGCCACACGCTCCGGAGTGGAGGTGATTTTGCGGAAGCGTTCGCATGCTGTCCAGAAATAGATGTTTTCAGCGCTGAATTCTTTTTTTAGAAATTCCTACAATAACAAAACTTATTAGACGCACTTTCAGATTTTTTGTCGAAAAACCTACGGCAAATGTGTGTAATCCCGCAGGACATTTGAGTAATTCCTCGAAGGAAGTCGCCCACGCCGCTGGACCATCTCCGCACGCCTTGACTATGCAATTATCCTCGCACTGTGAACAAACAGAAACCCAATGTAAATAAACGCCAATGAAAACAAACACAAACCAGCCGGTCAACAAACAACAAAAACAAAAGAACCAAGAATTCACACAAAAAAGCGGCTAAAGTGTTAATTCTACATGGAAATCCCCTCACTACTACACATCCAACAAAATATTCACCCAACAATATTTACACGTTTGACGTTAATAAACCAAATACGTGCAGGTTTAGAGAAGGAGACAATGTGAGTCATGCTTTGTGTCCCCTTTTCTCACGTCACAATTCCTCGAATATCAAAGGTTGAATCGAATCATGCACGTCGTCCATATCATCATCATCCGATTATGTTATATTTGCATAGTGCGATCAGTTGCGGTGTGCTGTGTTTCAAGTGTGAATTGTATACCTTCGAGTCGCCGTCCAATGCCGCCACCGACTTGGGTCGATTATTGCGTGCAAGACGCTGCGAACCAATGCGCCGGAATGAGTTGTTGAGCCGCCGAAACGGAGGCCGCAACGCCACCACCAGCCCCTGCCCAAGCTCTGCGCCTTCTCTGTACGCAGACACAGAAAAACAAAAACCACCATGAAGCAATAGGGAAAATTAAAATTGAATCAGGGTACAGTCAGGAAACAGCCAGTTAAAAGCAGTTAATTTTGTTTAGTTACACAAGCTTCACGTTTTACAATAAAATTGTCACTTTCAACCGTTTCCAAGAAGGCTTAGCTTCTTCTATTACCCCTAACGATCATTTAACGAGTATAATCTTTAGTAGAAATACCAATTTCTCCACTGGTTTTACTTACACGAGTGTCACAATTGTGTTTGCGCACATTTCGGATACCACGCAAACTAGCATACGGCCGCATAAAGCTGCGCTGTCGCGTCAAACCACCCCCGAAACAGTTCATAACACGCGTCGAACGTATCAAAACTCTACGCACAAGAAACTCACGTAAATACCACACCGCGTCTAGATTTGCCAGAAGCCTGAATCATACTGAACTACAAGTAAACCGTCGACGATTAAATGACATTGAGTTATGTAGCAGTCGTAGTTATCCCTTTTCGAATAGCAAGGCGCGACTCATCCGCAGCGCCCGGCGCCGTGTCGACGTTGTGAATCACGAATGAAAAATGAATCAAATGATCTCTCGGCAACATTCACTCAACAACTTTGAACACACTATAATCGCCACGAATTCTCCGGCTTATCTTGCGAGTTCCGCACTCGTTCGGAAATGTGCGATAATCACTCTAGTCGCAATGAGATTACAACTTGTGCGACTGCGGTTTTACGATAATTTAAAAACAAAAAACACTTTACAATGGGTTTTTTAACGCGTACGCACGCAGAACGACTGGGCTGGACTAAATTTCGTTAGGTTTTTAGTGCGTCGAAGCGCTTATAAAATTGAATATCTAGTGAATTATTGCGAACGCTCGCAGAAATGTAAACTTTCTATCAAATTGTGCGCACAGCGCGCACGCTCGTGTGCAACTTGTGTAACATCAACATTAATATTATTGTAAACATTTCAACATCGTTTCGATACGCAGGATCGTACACAAAACTCACCGAAATATCATGGCTTTTTATTGATTCTTTTTTATATTTCAACACTTCTAAATCAAAATATGGCACTTTAAAATTCACATAAAAAACTTTTTGATAAAAGTTCACTGTTTAATCAATAAATTAAAGCTTTTTGTACATCGCGACTGTGTCATGCACACTGGAAGACTAAACCACAACTGTTTGCAAACGCGGAACCGACAATAACTACAACCGCACACATCGTAAGCAACAAGCTTACTATGCTGCGTGTAATGGCATGTGTTTCACTCTCGGTTGGTCGTCGCGGTGCGCTGCACTTGTACGTTAAAAACCGCCTGCGAGTCACAACGGCAAGTGCATTAAATCCCCGTTTAAGAAGGCTGAGACTGTCTCACAGCCGTTACAATGTTGAGCACGTGATATAAAAGCTTCCCCTCGTTTAATTTAAAAGTTATGCGCATGCGCAGGTGACTTGTAGCACTATTAAATTAAGGGTGTCGCAACAGGTGACCTCATGAAAACACTTGCTATGCTGTTGGACACCTGTAGTAACGATTTTTTAACGGACAAATATTTCGCGCTCATTTTAAAACTTAAAACGAAGAAATAAACTTAAAATCACTCAAAGATCGAACAAAAATATTCTCGTTTTATTCCGTGTTCTGCATGCTATTTCCCACACAAAATGTTGAAAGGAAATGTTGATTAGTCTTAATTGATTTAATCAATTAGTGCACGCATGCACTCTCCTCCTGCACTCACTACAAGCAGATGTATCTGTGCTGGTATGTTTCATGTATGCCTCTCACGTTCATTAAACGTTCCGATCCGTTCGATTAGCGTACAATGAGACGAAATGATACGCAACGAGATCCCGCATTCAACCGGTGCTGACGTCCAAGCATCATTCTTATAATAATCTGCTAGAAATAGACACCGGAGTTATGCGGACGTGTACGCGAAGAAATACAAAAAAGTAATCCCATTGTGTTGAGTGCACAGATGAACAGCCAGGATTGAATTAAAAGTCATTTCATCGACCAACACGCCGCTGAAATTGAGCAACAATGCGTTATATTTTTTTATGTCGGCAACCTCGCGCGCGTGCGATTCGTTTCGAATAATCGAATAAACACGTAGTCATGCGAAGTAAACGAAGTAAAGTGAAGTAAATACAGTGAGACAGATTGGGAACAATCATGTGTATTGCTGGGGATCATGCGTCAATAATTTTTCTATTTTTAACTTGTACGAAGAGAACGCTTTCAAGTTTTTACTGAATATAATCGTACTTGAAATTAGTAAAATTATTATTTATTATTATTTATGAGAAATTGAAGTGACAGTGCATTATTATTAGTTAAGGAAATACCTGTACATTTTTTTTAAATTGCTACATATTACACTTTAATCTATATCGCTTACAAATATTTGTATTTGATTAAATTGATTGCGTGAGAAGCATGCAAAATATGCTTTGCGTCAGCAGTTACTTATCGCCACAGATATTCTTCGTCTAAATATTTAAATATTCCCAAAGTTTAAGTATCGAAATGCGCATCAGTTACTTACTTGAATAAAATCAAAATGTAAATAATGATAAAATGTCAAAATAAAAGGGAGTAGATTTTACGCAGTAAAAAATCAAGTGAAATGTGAATGAATTATGACGAATTGAACCCGGACGTGGTTTTTACCACCGATTATAAACAATGATTTCGAAAAACCAGACATTGTTCGCCAAAAAAGTACGAATTGATTTGTTTTTCATGCCCAAATCCGAGCACAAAACAAATAAATGGATATGGCGACCGGAAACCGCATTTTACTCGTTGCAGAACGCTATGGAATTACAATTTGGAAGCAAGGAGCTAATAATCACATTTTAAGAATCACTCAATCACTGCAAGTTCATTGTTTTCAAAATTTCAAATAAGTTATTACACAGAAAAAAAAATGGAAACTTCATTGGTTGTGACGAATTTGGCGCCAAATTTGAAATTGATGGTCACGTCCATACATTTGGCAATACAATAATAAATGTAAATAAATGTAAAACAAATTTTAATGAAAGTTTCACATCAATCTTTGGGTATCATTCGAATGTAAATATAAATTAACACATTCACCGCGGTCATTAAGAAAGAATTCATAAATATTTCATCAAAGAATTATTCGAATTTAAATAAATGAATAAAGCATGCGCTCGATTGTCCGAACATCAAGCATTACCACTTCAAACAACACTTATTAGGGAGTTGGGCGATTGTTTACGTAATAATTTATTTAGAAAACAAGAGTGGAAAAAATTTGCGAGGTGAATAAATCACGGATTTTAAATAATTCGCTTTCGAATCGCAATACAATTTCATAATTTACTCATAAATAATTCAAACACAGCCAATTAAATCAAAAGCACTAAATTTTGGAAATAACGAAGATATTTATAGAATGACATACATCATAACAATGGGAAATTGACGTCAATACCAGCCAGCTAACAATTGTTTCATCTCATTTCCAGGCTGTCAGAGCAGTCGCGTTTACGAGCGAATAGAATACGTACTGTGAAACGAACCTAGTTTGCGAAAGAACACAAGCTTTCCGACATCTGACAGCTGCAGCCGCATTGTCGGTCCGCAGATAATGCCATTAACAGAAGTGCAGTAAGTATAAATAGCATTCCATGCAATTTACCGTGAAGTGAAGGAGGAGTGTTTCTGTGCATATTTCTATGCGCGCAAATATGCAAGATACCGTTGCATTCTAAACCAAGACGAATCTTATTTCGCAATTTTATTTTCATACTACCAATGATATAGCAAGCACAACACGTCAAATAATACATTAGTTTACTTGTACTAAAATTAAACCAAAACAAATTACATTTTGCACAATTTGCTCGCACTTTCATTACGACCATTACATTCACTTTTGTCTTTGTAACTAGAGACTAGTCGCGAGACAATGAAATGCGTAATGACCCTGACAATTGAAACAAATTTAAGTCAATTAAAGCCAACAACTTAATCAAAACCCAAGAGTACGCGCTGTGAACTTCAACAAACCAATTCCTGCGGCTATCTTGTTGTCAGATGCCGCAATAAATTAAACTTGACTAGAAGAAAAGAAAGAAATTCCATATTTTAACGAATAACTTTCGGTTGAGTCACAAGTTAATTCTTATTTTTATTAATGTTAATTGGTAATGAAGCCCACACAATACAATAATATGATCTTAATCATAATAATGGTGAATTAAAAATTATTATATAATCAATTAATTAATCCATTGTTATTTGTCTTGTTCTACTTGATTAATTGCTTCAACTATCGAATATGCTAAGTTACGCCGGCGTAAACATTGTGCGATTGTGTGACATTTATCGAATTTATTACTATGGTCTAATAGTGTTCTAACCAGCGAGCATTATACAGCGACTCGGCCG